ACTTCATCTCAGAAACAGCTAGGTCAAGTCCTTTTGGTATGAAGGAAATGGAGAAGTATCTCTTTCAACTGATCTCAGACAAGTTTATTCAAAGCCAACATCTATCAGACAAGACAGATGGTTTAAGACTTCATGAAGATTTCTGCCTGCTGGTTTGGTCACATGAGCAAGCATACAGAGCAATCATACTACTTTAGTGGGAAAATCAGAGACTCTTTTGCAACTGCATCTACTGTCAGATTTTGTAGTTGCTATTCCTTTAGGCTTTGGAAATTAAATATGCATGTAATATAAAAATATATTATTATTTCCATACATGCATGGAAATATTAACAAAGTTTGATCCATAGTCAGAAGTCATGATGTATCTATCCATGCCTTTGGCTGAAACTGTAGGATAAATTATATTACATACTGGAATTTTACTACATTTCTGCCTGAAAAGTGCAGATCCTTAAGAAAAGCTACATGACTTCAACACAAAACCAATTAATTTTTCATATCATAGTACGTTAAGGGGTTGCAATTGATCTTAGGGATCATCTAGCCCCAGCCCCTGCTGCTCTGGGTAGGGGCACCTCCAATTAGACCAGACTGCTCAAGGCTTTATCCAACCTGGCTTTGAGCACTGCCAGGGCTGGGGCATCTACAACCTCCCATGGCAAGTAAATGAAGTGCTTCTGTGAAAATTTTCAGGATAAAGGCAATTTTGCATTATTGCACTCCTCAGTTTGCTCATGAGTAAGACAGCAACAAAACACATAATGAGGAATTCATATTCCTAGTCCTAAACTTGGGAAGGAATATAGTTAACATGACCATGCTTCTGCACCAGCCTGTCACTATATTCCTTAGCATATATATTCTCTGTTACTATACTTGTTTGTACAACAGAGTCCTTGGCATGATCTTGGTTTCCTAGACTAAAAAAAAAACAAAAACAAAAACAAACCCAGAGCTGCTCACAAACTGCTCAGGACCATCTTGGTCATTGCATTTTTCATAATTCATTTCTGCTTCAGAGCTAGCACTGCTGAGGAACACCTGAACAACCTAGTCTGAATGTGTCTGTTCCCACTGAGAAGTCATACAAAATTAACAGACTCCTTAAAGTGTAACTATTTTCCCCCTTATATTTATGATTGTCCCCATCACTGTCAGCACCTGATGATATACAGCAATGGTATCTATTATAGCAGACTTTTTCTGTGCCTTGGAAAGTTTTTCAAGCAAGCGGCTGTGGATTTGAACTGTGGAGACTAAGTAAAAGCCTGGACTTTGACTATGTGCCAGAGGTACCCAAATGCCTCTTCCACTCCTGCTTCAGAGACTGAAAGGCTTAACAGGACTCTAAGGTGTTACAAGCTTATGACATTGACACAAGCACAAGTGCAACACTTCAGCTGTACTGGTGCCTCCAGCATGACACCATCCCTCTCTCTAGCTCTGCCTTGTTAAGTTTACTACTGCTCCCAAAGTCTTGCCTCATTGCTAACTCATGGAATGGCTGCCTCCATGCACAGCACTGCAGTGGAAGATCCTCATCCCTACTCTCCCTACAGCAGTATCTCTCAAAAAGATGTAATTTCTGCTCGAGTACTCCCACTGTGGCTCTAGTTACACCATATAATTGGCCAAATCCTCAGTGACCCCCTTCCCCTGGCCACTCTTCTGTCTCATCTCAGCTAGTGAGCTCTTCAAGGTACATCCTTTCTCAAATGTCTGGACAGCTCACTGCACCTTCTAAACACACCACAAATTAATAGAAAGGTACTGCATCACTTCTAAGCACCAAACAAAATGTTTCTAATTAATAGCAGAAGAGCTACCTATAAATTTTCCCTTGCTTTTTGTATTTTCACTGGCAGAATCCACATTACTAAATATTTATGTGAAGCCTTGCCCAGAAACTCCATCAGAAACCAATTGTACATGTATGCAGTGCTACACAGAAGGTTCTGTACACATGGTGTGAAATTCTGAACTCATTAAACTCTGCCATAAAAGTCTCCATTTTTTTTCCTGAAACTCCGTTATAATCTCTTTTTCTTAAAAAAAAAATAATCAGGTGTCCAAAAAGATACATTCTCCATCCATTCTTACAGGTTAAAATAAGCTTATAAAATACACATATTTTGTACTTCTGAACAACACACTGCCTCAAAGTCTTCTGCATCTCAGGCAGCTCTGCAAGCAGTTCAGTCAAACAATACCAGAATCATTAAATGGACTAGGGCACTTCTAGGTCACCTAGTCCATTTAAAAAGCAGCTGCTATTGCTCTGCTCATGTTAT